ATAAATAAATAAATAAATAAATAAATAGATATTCCCAGTTATCCAGAGCAGTTCTCAACAATGTTCAGACCTTCAGACAAAAAGGTTTTAGTGGTTTTAAAGACTGCACACTGAGATAAATTTTTCAGGCATTACTCAATATACAGAATCACAGAATCATCCAGGTTGGAAAAGACCCTTGGGATCATCGAGTCCAACCATTAACCCTACTTACAAGTTCACCCCTAGACCGTATCATGCAACACCACATCCAAGCGATGCTTAAACACATCCAGGGATGGCGACTCAACCACCTCCCTGGGCAGCCTGTTCCAATATCCCACAACTCTTTCCGTGATGAACTTCTTCCTAGTGTCTAGTCTAAACCTAGGCTACCTTGAACCAGTATCTCATGCAGTTAATAAGTCTGTGTGAACGCAATGCTTAGAAGTGACCACGGTCAGTTTCACAACTGATAAAATAAAACAATGAAAAAAAACAAACCCTCAAAAGTTCTTATTTGCACAGGTTTTCTCAGCACACACAAGAAACAAAACTGCTCAAGCCACCTTCAAGCAGTACTTGACCTCTCCTGCCCTTTTGTGATCTACTACTAAGGACAACACAGCCAAAAATGAGCTGAGGCCTTCCTTGATCCATGCTGCCTGGCAGGAGTGGTAGGGTAGGACAGACTGCTCTTAAGTCGTATATTTAGTCAACCAGAAATTAAGTCCACTTGCAATCCAGGCCCATTCTGCCTTATCCTGACATACTCCGCTACTTTGGTTACAGGCATATAGCAACATTTTTGTCACACTTTCTGTACTTTAAAAAACAATCAAATCTTTCTTTACTTGAAGCACTTAAGTCTGAAAGTCTCCAATGGTTGGGAACATTCACTCAAGCCTCACCAAAGAGAAGTATGAAAATGGATGAAGAATACTATCAAGGTTTTTGCCTGTTTAACTTGCCTACGTTTATTTAAAAAGCAAATACTAGCACAATGATTAATATTTAGATTATAAATCTTGCAGCTAATCCAGTGCACCAAAGCACCTTCTCTCTACACATCTGTCACTTAAGACATCAGATAAGACTTTCAGCCTGAACAGACACACCTAAGGACCTTCTGCTTCCTTACAAAGCTCACCAGAACTCTTTGAAAACAGATGACAGCTGGTGAGGGGTTGGTAAATTTAAGCAGCCCTCAGAAATTACCTCACTCTAGAAGAAAGATTCCTAGGACCTCTGCAAGTTTGTTCAAAATCTTCTTTAACAGCCTTCAGGCATTTAATTATTACTACAGTTTTTAATCTGTAGAATTCATAACTGCACCATACCAATTAAATATCATCAGTTTCAATTACCAAGCTGGCATACAGTGTATTAAAAACTGAGGCTAGCATAAATAAAATCATGAAAGATGAACATAAGATCTCAAAAAAATTACATTCAGGTTGAGTAAGAAAGAAAAGGAAGTGGAATTCCATGCCTAAAACATTAAGATACTGTACTTCTTAATTCTTTCCAAGGTCAAATGGCCTGAAATGAACTATTTCTTGGAATTCAGAGGCTGGATGTTGTTAAGTCACCAGCTGGAAGCACCCAAGAAACACAAGTCTCCACTTTTCAGCTTTTAGCCAATTTCATCTGTTTAAATTAAAATCAAGAACTCTGAAGGTCATGTTAACTGTTCCATTTGACTTACAGATCAGTACAATGCAACTAACGCAGAGGAGTAGGGGACTAGTATCAGAGGTGTAAGAAGAAGAGCCACAAAGCACACCTGACCTTTTCTTCCCACCAGATAAAAACCTTAAAATGGATCACAAAGATGGAATACTTAACACACATGGTATTGCTGGGATGTGTCAGTGTTATCTGGACAAACAGTCACTCTCCTTACTAGGACTCCAGAGAAGTCATTTTCCTTCCAATCAAACCCATTTTTTACAGCTTGCTCTGCCTTCTCCCTACCCCAACTGATCTTCATTTTTCAGGTGTTACAGGCCAACCCACTACTCAAATTGGGCGATGAAAATAAACCAAAACCATTTTGGAAATACACATCCCTGATTGTCTTTCGAATGAAGAAAGATTGATAGCAAAGAGCCAAAGATCTCTTCAGTAATTTCTGAAAACTAAAAGGGAACATTGCTGTGTTTTAGTTCACCAGAAGTCAAACAATTTGTGCCTGGATTTACCACAGACTGAGACAGTGTGTTATCTTAAAACTATGAGCTCCTGGAGTGACCACAGAAGAAAAGACGACATTACTTGCGTTGTTTAAACAAGAAGGCAAAGTTCTGTGCTTTCCTTCTCTCTTCAATCCTCCTCCTACTCTCAAGTATTACAACAAATTTTAGTCCACAGCTTAAAAAAGTTTATTTGCATTGAGGCAGTTTCCATGAGAAAGAAAGAGCTCCAACGGCTGTGGGCTGGCAAGCAAATCAGTTCACAAGGGTCTGAAAGGACTGCAATTATCCGTTTGGCCCACATGGGAGAGCATGCGTAGCCCCACATAGGCAGCTAGCAGCCAGCCATCAGCAACAAGCTGCCTCCGCCTACAGCAGTCATCTCCTATTTCTTCTCCCCAAAGCAGAACAGTTCTGGAAACCACACACCCTGACCAGGACATAGCCTGGGGTTAAGCTGACAAGGGGATTTCTGAACAGAAGGAATTTTCAAATGAGGTCTGCAGCAGCAAAATAGGTTGGGAGGACGGAATTGCAGCCCTCAGTTTGCAGGTGGTGTCACGAGAAAGGGTACTGGAGTGCCAACTGGGAAAAAAGCAGGACAATGCAGGAGAAGGGTGCAGCTTGGCTTCCTCATGCTGTAAGACCAGATGCCTGTGCAGAACACTGGAATGAACTGCATTTTGGACTTTATTGCATAAAAAGACAGGAGAGATGGGCCTTTGCCTCAGTCAACCTACAGATTTTTCCTCTGTCATTACCTGGAATAACGGATAGCAAAATCCTACTAACGAAAGCTGTAGATATGCCAGGCTCTACTGCCAGGGATACTGAAAGCAATGAATACACTTTCTTATTGCAATATCTTAAAATCAACCTACTCTCTCCCCAGCATTACCAAAGAGTAGGACTGAGGTACAGCTCTTGACGCTCTGGTGATAGTTTTCCAGTTAAAAATATAAGTGTGCAGGAGCCATCAAGGGTTTGCACCAGACCACAGCCAGATGATACTCATCAGTAGCCTCTGGTGGTGAGTACTTGTTGCTTTAAGCAGTGCACACGGCCATCTGCAGTGCCAGGAACCTGCAGCACACTCTACGGTCATGCATGCACTTAACAGTTGTCTGTTCGTGAGAGGATCTGAACACCACGGAGGGGCCTTTATAGCCAAACAGAAAGACCTGCAGAAAGTTACCAGGTCTCAGAGCACACACCACCAAATCCTGCCGAATGCTTTGCTGATTAGACCCTTCACTTGCTAGACTCATTCCAAGAGCGCATGAGGTCTCCTCAATCTCAGTACAGGGGCACATATAGGGAAAAAAATATTTCTCCAGGCTTTTAAACTGCATTTCCCTAAGTCTGAACTATGTGCTATTCGCTGTAATGAAGGATGCTAAAAACATACTAAAAGCTTTGGGAGTCTGCCAGACTGCTACAGTAATTATCCAAGAAAGCAAACATGTTTTCTTATTGCAGTACTACAGTAATACTGCAAGAGCCCACAGAAAAACAAGCAGTGTTAGTATTATCTGATCTCTGGCGGATACGATTGCTCATCAACAGCTTGCTTTTTCTTTTTATTCCTTTTGCCTAACTATAGAAGTGTCACTATTAGAAAACAGATTATATATCTATGTTATTTAACAACATTTTCTTTATGGAATTTCCTAATAAAGTCATAAAAAGTATAAAAATCAAACAGAGCATTTCAGGATGACAGTTTGTTTTGGGTTTCTTTTTGTAACAAATTTCCTTTGTCAAACTATGAAGCAGAAAAATGTACAGAAACATTGTGAAACCTGAGGAAATCATTTGCTCATGACAAACTCCATGTATAGATTGTACAAGTGTTCCGACTCTAGCTTTGTGAAATAAGCTAGTGAAAGACAAACCAGTGCTGTGTTCATATACAGAGACCAAGGCAGTAATGTTGTCTCTGTGTTACTTAAAATTAGTTACTGAAATGATTACAGACCTCACATGGATGTGTGCCAAGCTCTGGAATATTTGTTCCTGGACACTGACCTTTTAGCATGATTCTTTATTTAAAACTTCTTTAAAAAGCCGTGTCATTATAAGTGCTTAAAGACGCAAAGAGAAACTAAGGAACTATACTTTTAAACTAAAAAAAAATACAGGAGAACTTAGTGCTTTGAAATCTTGAGTATTACATATTTTGTGCTACTTTTTATATGAGACAAATAAAACCAGGACAGCCCTATTTCAGAAAAACATTTCAAACAGAAAACTGCTTAACCAGCTCACCTTAAGAACGATGCAAGAATCGTCTGTCCGTATTGCTCCCGCTCTGCACATGGAAGTAAGGCTGTAATGACATAATAAAAAATATGTTCACTCACCATTGGCTTTTATGCACTGAAGTAAGACAGTGAAGAACAATCAGGCGTACTAATGAAACATACTTTCCTTTGTTCCACCACTGATTTAAAGACAGTTCTGCTTACTAGACTTGCCCACATAAACTACTGCAGGTGTACTTTTACCATATTTCTAGTACAGAACATCTTGCTGGAGGACTAATCAATGCACGCACCACACACTGGTCAAAAAAGGTCTAACCATCAAAGTCAACTGATCCAACCTCTTTCATTAAGAATCCCTTCCCAAAATCAGTAACTTACATTAAGTTAAAGGAGCAATATACATAGACCTGTCCCTTGCTGCACACAGCATGGGCAAGTACTTAAAACATTCAGGAGAGAATCACTGTGAGGTTTGTAGTCTGACAGCTTAGTCAGAAACCACTCAAGCTTTGCATCGGATTAGGGGACACGGTATCATGGTGACATCTGCCCACAGGAGTGCCTTAACACTTTGCTGGAATAAGCACGTCCTTGCTAACGATTCCAAAGAACTCTCTGGCACTGAGCCAAACCAGCATTCGGTTTTGTTAGACAACAACTTAGACAGGAGATACAACAACTCCAAGGTCTCAAACTACAATGCTGACACACAACATCAGACAAACACGGATGCTGCTTTTTTAATTTACCTCTGTACTGCTCCAAGCTACTAGAAATGTCAAGCAGTTCATCCACCAGTCAAAGTGTTTTACATTTAAGTGGTTTACATTCTGCACCTGCTTTGTTACATGGAAGTGGAATGAAGCTGGAGGATAACTGCTCTGCATCCAGCCTGGGAAGCGTCTTTTGTTTGAAGTTTTGAACTAAGCTATTGTAATCGGCTTTTACCATGCCACAGTTGAGGTTAAAAAAATAACTGAACTTCAGGAAAAGTGACTTAAAACTAACACATTTCAACTCTCTGTTGGGCAGGTTAAAAGTGTAAGTAGGGTCAATTACAATTGCTCAGCTAAGGAGCAGTAAAACGCTACCCTACTGTCACCATTCCGTGTTTCACTGCATTCCTGAGCTCCTTCTGAGTGCCTAAAGAGAATTCTTTCACCTCTTAGAAGGTAACATCACTGCTCTTGTTACAAACATCCACCAGTGATAGATAAGCTAAAATCCCATAATCGGAAGACTTTTAACATATTATTTCTTAGAAGATAAAAGATAAGATTTGATGGTTAGCATAGTGATCATTTTATAAACGTTTACTGTCCAATCCTTGTAGCTGACAGCAGGAAATGAGAAAACTCATTTTCACACCTGAACAGCCAGGAAGAAAGTGCCTGTCTTGCAGTTGCCATTCAGTTGAGCTAGACCCTATCTGCCAGACAAAGTAGCCGTACTTCAAACATGAAATAAGGTAAAGTATTTTTACTTCAGGTTAAATAGGCTTGGCTTAGCTGGAAGCAATTCCAGTAATTTTACTTAAAAATGTTAGCACTCCACTTGTAGCTGCAAATCACTCCCCCTTACTCTTATTGATGCATGTAAATACCTGAGGAGTGGGGGTCAAGAAGAAGGTGCCAGTCTCTTCAGTGGTGCCCAGTAATAGGACAAGGAATAATGGGTGTAAGCTAGAACACAGGAAGTTCTGCCTCAACGTGAGGAGAAACTTCTCTACTGTGAGGGTGATGGAGCCCTGGCACAGGCTGCCCGGAGAGGTTGTGGAGCCTCTGCCTCTGGAGACTTTCAAAACCCCCCTGGACGCTTTCCTGTGTGCCCTGCGCTAGGTGATCCTGCTCTGGCATCTATATCATCTTCCAACCCCTGACATTCTACGATTCCCAAGAGGCTTACTGTTCTTCCCTCTGTGCCAACACTGCTGCCCAAGTGAAGGATCTTTACACCATTTCAATCAAGAGACATTACCTTAGAATCATAGAACTTGGGTCTCCCATGTCTACTTCAATGGTTAAAAAACAAAGGAAACTCCTTAAGACAGCCTTATATGCAAGTGTGGATTCAAAAACAGAAATTTAACAAAAGGCTTCACAAATGCATATTAAAAAAACCCCAAACCTTTTACATCGACATTCTAAGGACACTAGTAACGGAGAGCAAGACAGATCAGTTGACCAAAGGTTTCAAGGCAGGAGCAAAGTCTTAATTTAGAAACAAAGAGGACTTGGGGCAATTTCACCTACTACTCTCATTAGAAAAAAAAGAGATACATAGTCTGACTTGGAGGGATTCAAGTAGGGAACGGATACAAGCAAAGCTGGCAGGCCTTTGCAAGCCCCCCGGACTGTTGTGAAACTGAGGGCTTGAGTGCCCTACTAAGAAGGATGACTGCCCATGGACTAATTAGAAAACTAATACAAAATTTAAGATACTGGTTCGTATTCCATTTTCCTGTAATTTGCTTTTTTGTTTTTCACTTCATCATTTTCTTCCACGCTTTCAAAGTTCCACATGAACTCAAGTACTGCAGAGCAACAACAAAAGATGGGATTGTCTACCCAACTCTGTCCAATTTGAACCATATCAGCAAAGAACACTGACAGACCTGGAAGCATTCATTCCAGAGCAGTTCTTTTAACCCCAACCTGCCAGAACTGAGACTGCTACAACGCAGTTAATTTAACTTGCCTTCTTCACTAAGGACTACCTAACAAAACCAGTAAAACCAGAATGCATAAACCAATTGTGGTTGGAAGGGAGCATGGGAAGTCCCCAGACAGACCTCCCACATGGAGTGGGATAACCTAAAACAACTCCCTCCTCCACGCACACACACATACCTGTCCTTACAATTGCTTTCATGAATGTCATGAAGTCATCACACCCTGGCAACATTATAGAAGCGACCATCCTACCTATCCCCACTTGTTCCTCACCCAAAATCTTGAGACCTTGCACAAAGAGAAGTGTCAGTGAAAATGTGTCTTGAACTGAACCAGAAATCACTGATCCGGGGCAAAAATAAGCCAACAAAATCTAGAATAATAATTAAAAAATACATCAGTGACCAAACTCTTGAGTTACGTTTTAGTAGCTTATAGTGATGCGTAGTTTTATCTCTTTAACCCTCTGAAGTAATTTATTCCATTATTATCAAAAGAAAAGTAAAAGTATCTTAAAGGGAGTAAATTTCCAGCTTATAAGCCAGTATAATCTTAGCGCTGCTGTTACAGAACTTGGTCACATTTTGTCACAGGGTAGAAAGTCCGTATGAATACGAACACACAGAAACGTGCCCACACCAGAAAGGAAAATTTGATTTGAACTATAAAATTAATTAATAACATTAATTGAACTATAAAATTAATTAATAACATTAATTGTGCTGTATAGCACAGGAAGCTTAAAGAATAATTGACTTTAATTAATCTTAGTGCATACAGTTCTCAGCACACCACAGCCCCAGTCACCTGAGCGAGTCCTCTGAACAGGGCTGCAACAAGGACATTAACCTGTACTACATGATGAAATTTCAGTATTGTTCTCTGTAGGGACAAACGATTGAGCATACCCTATTAAAAGTAAAACTTGCAATAAAATCCAAGTTACTTGTAAAAACTGCAGATCAGCTTATGAAAATGCATGTCTGAATATACGCTCCTGACAAAACTGCTGCCCAGCAACATTTTTTCCTGCTTACGTACAGCAAAGAGCAGAATTTATGCTATAAAGATTATGAGGGGAGAGCCACTTCTTGAAGGATTTACATAATGCCAACAATATCTGTAACTATTCCTAAGGTTTTAGACCACATACTACTTTGCAACAAGCAAAAAGGGAACAGTTAAAGTATTAAATTGCACACTATTTCATATCAATTTTTGATGAAAATTACCATTTGGCTGATGTGAGCTGCATTTCAATAGGCTTGTCCCTTTGTAACATCTTCACAAAAATTTGCGGTAACAATTCTCCATCAACTGACACTGCAAGCAATGAAAGAGAACTCCAGGTAATTCTAATTCAACCAATCAATAACATGAATGTTAAAGAAGTAACAAGCAGCAGTATACTTACCATTTACAAGAGTCATTGATACCTGTGGGTTCTCAAAGGCTAGAACTGAAAAGCATTTCAATGCTTGCATTCGAACCTGTGTAACAACAGAGTATGTAAGAAGTATAAAAACACGAATTTAAAAGCAAAATTGCTCTATACTGCTGTATAGGCTTGTAGAAAAAAACATCTGTATAATCAGTAGAAAATGTAGATGATGATCAGTAAATGGCAGATGGAAACATACAACTCAAACCTTAACTCCTGTCATCTCTCAGTTGGGCTTATCCTTCTATAAGTTATGTTGAGAACAATTTGTGAAAAAGGCAATGAAGGATAAAACTTGGGAACTAGACAGTCAGAAAGACCAGTCTTACTTGTGATGCCTCACAAATGTGTAAACAACAACAAAAGAACAGAAGTATCACAACAATAGTACTTTTTTTTTCCATAAGAGAATCAGAAATACACAACCTTGAGATTTATATTTCAGAAGCCTTTGAAGGTGAGTCTAATAAAATATCTAAAGAGAACTGTCCAGCTGAAGTGATTCTAAACCAATCTTAAAATAAGTATACACAAAAAATTCTACTGCCATTACACAGCCTCAGGTATCACTCATACAAAAAGGACTCACAAACTTCTTCATGCTCTACCTTCCTCCTCCAATCCAAAACCATGTCTTGGTTTAATCAAGCCATATTTTACAGGTGCCTAGTCACGCTAGGCTATGAAATCTTTATAACCCCTTTTTTGACACAGACCAACCACTATCATCTTCCCAGATGAAGAATCTAAGTTATTCCAGATATTAGTCTTTGACTTCACCTTCTACAATTCCACATATTTAAATCATGTCTCTTTCCAAATTTCTGTTACCACACTGCTAGTGTGAAAATAAAGCAAACGGAAAAAGATTTTGACCTAAAGAACTCCATCACTGCAGAAAATACTTACTGCAAGTTAGGTTTAGGCCCATCCCACCCTTCTCAAAAAAGTCTTAGAAACATGGAAGTCCAAGAGTAGACAAAAACAGCAAAGTTAATCACACCTCTGTGCATTAATTTTACAATACCTAATCACAGTCATGGTAACATCTCTTCTCATCAGTAGTAGTGAAGCCTGAGGAGGAACAGATAGCAGGCTGCCTGGCTTCAGAACAAAAGCCTCCTTTGACAGTTACTTTTCAGCCAATCTAATGAACACACTGTATGCTTCAAAGCAGCAGGAGGCAGAGATCTTGTATCAAAAAAAGTGCTGAAAAAAGTCAAACCTACAGCTCAAGAGTCAGGGGTTGGGGGGGTAGGTTCTAATGAGAACAAATGAAATCTACGTTAACTATTTTATATAATACTGCTCAGTTAAAGACATTAAAAATACTACAATGACTACTTTCTTTGCTAGTGATGTCTATTTAATGGCAATTAGTTCAGTAGTTATCTGAGAAACAGGGAATGCAAGCTTTTGGAAAAATACGTAAATATGGTCTTGAAACCATTATCCATGACACCGCTGGAAAAGCTGTCGTCCCTTTGTGTTAGATATCTCACCAGGGGCGAGGATGCACACTTGTAATGATGTAACACAGGGGAAAGATACTCACAGAATCAGCTGGCTACGGGACAATGCAAAAAACAAAGAAAAAAAGAAAAATAGTTTATTGAAAAAGAATAGTCAATTCTCTTCTTCTCAATTCTCAAAACTCTTCTCATGGAGATTCAAATCCCACTTTGAGGGTTTCTGCTATTGTTCATGTGGTCCTATTGCCTAAATGATCTGAGATACCCTCCTGTCCTTTACTGCAAGTATTGAAAAATAGGTATAGTTTTTAAATGATGTCTTCTGTTCAGCACTTATTTGGCTGAACGTTAAAAAACTGGATAGAGAAGTACAAGAATGAGACAGCTTGTATTTTACAGAAAACTGTTAGTTATGTCAGAAGTCCAAGAATGTCTAATTACTGCAGAACACTAAGAAAGCAGCGCAATGAAGTTTTTAATCCCATGAGAATTAATGGGGGAAAGCATATGAAGAGCAGTGCAGTATGTACACCTGGAATTTAAAAGCCTGACTAACTAGTGAAGAAGGAAATGGAAAATACTTTACACATCCATCCAGTAAGGCAGGACTAAATATTTATATTATAATGTAAAGCTACATATATTTTGTTGGCATAAAAGCAACTTGAAAATTTTATCTTGCTCCACTTTCTTTATTTTAAAGCAGCTCTTTTTAAAAAATAAAGAGTGTTGAAAGCCATTAGAAAAGGTTCCAAGCCAAACATAGCTTGGAAAATTCACCTTGTGATATATGGTAAAAAAGGTCAGCTGATGGGAGAAAGAGAAAAAATGCTGCCTAATCATGGTGAAAACTAGTTAGTACAGAAAGACGAAACCCAGAAGCTTATCAGTCTCACTAAGAAAATATTGAAGGCTGCATGCTTCCTGTGGATTTATGAAAAAACCTGAAACCTCACAAACCAAACCTAAAAGGCACCACACGTCCTGGAAAAGAGCACCAACTTCCTCTTCACTTGGAATTCTCATCTAAAGACTTTTTTTTTCTGCTGAAATATACTTTATCAAGAATATTAAAAAAAGACAAGCACAATTATCTCCTGGAGTTTCAATTACCCAGCAAACAGCCTACTTCCAATACAATAAAAATGGCATAATAACAGACAGATAAATCATATTAGATATTAATAGTAATAACTCAATGTATATTTGGATACTTTAAATTGTTTCTTATTTTCAGAATAATGACATACATACTTGGGGGGGCAGGGGATAAACTGATACCTTTGTAATAAAGTCTGTGAAAGTTTAACTGCTTAGGGATCACAGGATTTGCTTTAGACAAATATCAAAATTATTTGCATAGCAGGCATCTGTTAGCCCTCAAAACCCCAAACTACATGGGAAAGCCCCAAGAAAGCATTTTACACAAAGTTTTTATTAAGTAATTTACCGCACACTCCTAAGGCTGTGTTCAGGTTTTGAAATTTTGGCCTTAGACCAAAAAGAGCTAGCTGACTCTCCTTGCCACCAAGTTTTAGGTAAAGTATGATGCTTTTCCCTGGAGGTGGTACTTTCAGGCAAATTCTATGTCCATGATTTCACAGGTATGACTTCTCAGTAGGACAGCTCACATTTACTATTCTTCAGCTTAACTTCTTTCTCATTTACTCTTCAACAAACTAGACTTTTTTACTGGGTTGACAAGTGACTGTTCTCCTTTCAAGCAACAACAGCCAGCTCTGTTCTAATTAATGGTGTTTTAACTTTAGAGAATAATCCAACAGAATAGTTCTTGCTGTAATAGAAATCCATACAATAAATAAAACCATTAGTCTAGAAACATACATGATACCTGTTTATAGTTCACATGAACAGACATAGTTTCTATAACCTCATATGAATTCCTTTCATAAATGTATGTAAAAAAAGGAATAATTTTAATGTCTTACTTTGTAGGAAGTGGAGACTAACAGATGTGCAATATTCTGAACAGCTCCACAGTTAAATAAGATTGTCTGGTGATCTGGACCCTTCAAAGGAAAACATAAAACATGATTTATTTATTTTTTTAAAGAACATGTAAGAGGTTTCCGCTATCTGCAACTTACTGTTAAGTATTAAAGGCAGATTAGCTAACATTTACTTTGTAATAAGCTCTCATAGCAACTTTTTTTTTTCAATATACAAGTCCAACTCTTATTTTTACAGCATTTCTCCTTTTCCGTTAATTGTTTCTACTCTTTTACTTCAATAGGCACTGAAATTAGTTTTCACAAATGAAGGAACACAGCTAGAGTACTTAAGCTTCTATTCTTCATACTGGAAACAACCAAAAGCTCCTGATTTTCTCTACAAATAATATAAAAGATTCCCAGTTACTAATGTCTTCTTCACTAGTAGTATTAAGCATTTTCAACAATTCAAACTACAGAAGAGAGGAAATGAATTGTGAAACTGTTTCCCGACAGCATGTGATAGTGCTTTTAGAACAGATTCACACTTTCTTCCTGCAGATTATTTTATTTTCAAACATATTTAGCCATAAGTCTAGTCAGCCATCACCCATTTACAGACTTCAAGATCTAAGTCAGCGATGGCTGATACGTCAATATTTTTCCAAGACTTCAAACGCATTTGGAATTAAACATAAATACTGAATTTTGCAGTAGAAAGGTCTCAGAACTTCAGCAGTATGACAAGGCTGGATGAGGTTGGAAAAAACAGGAAAACTCAACAGGGCCCTCAACAGTCTCTTGTGAATCAGGTCAGTGACTTACAAACATCTCTTTAGAAGTAGATTCATGACTCTAGTCATCTTTGCATTAAGCACAGGCTATGCACAATTTAAATTCAGCTTTTAGAATGACACAGCATTAATCATATCTCAACGCATTTTCTTGACTAATCTCAAAGTGAAGTATCTTCACTCCTTAAGCTTTTGTTCAAACCCAGCAAATTTTAAGGGCATATCTATACACCCTAGCATACAAGTGACATTCTACATTTGCGTTTGAGATACACCTGAAATCAGATTCCTCTTACACTCAGAAGAACATTTTTAGAACACCCCTTACCTCTAAGAAAAACAGCATAAAATTACTTTTAGAGGTAACATATCTGGTGCTTTAAGAGATGCTTCAGCTGCTACTGCCACCAAAAGCTTTCTACCAAAAATGCAATTAAAACAGCATGGTTGAAGTAGAATACAACTTACATTGGCACACAGAAGTGGCTGAGGCAATGATTTAAAGCCGCAGCTATGCCAGTGTTGAAGCTGAAGAACAGATATTAAAATACATGAAAAAAAGAATGAAATTAAAGTAAAAGAAATCATCTTGACCTAGACAGCTTTAGTAACTTACAACTATTCGTGATTTTTCAGTGAGATGCCGATGGTAAATTCTGTGCAAACAGGACAAATGCACGTAGAGAGGTGACACTTTGGGTGTATTCTTAGTTGTGTAACTAGAGGTACGTGAAAACATTTCATCTGTACCCATTGTGTTTGCACACATCGAGCCAGCTGGTTTAATTCCCGATCAGGTCAAGCACTAATCCATAAACAGGGATGGCTTCAAACACAAACATGAAAACTTGAAAATATAATGTATCATTTCCAAGCAGCTCAGGTATCAGCTTAATTAACAGACTTTCTGCTTTTGTTTCTCTTTGGGTGTATCAACATAGCTCCCAGGAGCCAGTCCTATTACAGTGATCTTTTTCTCCAAATATGATTAATGACATGATATTTCAGGAACAGAAATGGTATTTCTTTGCATGATTTTCCAACATAAAATGTCAGTTTTCAAGAAAGTGGTAAAATAGAACAACGTAACAATTCATTCCACAATGAAATTTCAGAAGCAGACATCTAAATGCAGAGGTACCTTGGTTCAGGGATCCAGCACCAGGCCTAAGATCACCTAAGAAATTATTCTCAGAATGGGCTTGGGAGGAAGCTGCCTTAATTACTTTATCCTGGATCTTTCTCAAACACAAGTTTTTAATTTTCAAATGGTGGTGAAATTATTCCTTATGCAGAGATGTCACCACATTCAAATATAAGCTCCGGAACAATCTTTTCAAATTAGTCACACAACCATGTGTTTCCAAATGTATATCTTTTTAATTTGACAATTAAAACAGTACTCACATCACTTCCTCTGGAAGCAAATCAACTGTGACAGAAAGAATCTTAAAAAGTAAATTCTGACTTGCATTTTAGCATACCATGTATATAAACCTGATTTCAGTTTACTCATTTGTTTGTAAGTTGATAGAATCCTGGCTCTGCATGTTACGAATTGCATCTGCTCCTCCTGTAAATCAACGCTTTCCCTTGCTTAGGATGGCTCCTCTCCAGGGTCAATATTTCCTATCAGTTAATTTTAACTCTACAAACACAGTGAGAAGCAGTACAAGTAGGCAGTAAAAGCAAAAAAGAACAGCAACATGCTAGCAACCTGAATTAAGGATTTCCTACGTCAAGAGAACAGGTCTGAGTTTTTCCAGGGAAATTTAAGCAAGCAAAGAGAAAGAAAGAAACCTGAGAAGCCCACCCACACAAGACTCGGCTAAGGAAGAGAAAAAAATGGATGCACAAGATCCAAGCAGAGAACACTATGCAGGAACAAGGAGGGTAGGAACTATGATATGTCACTATGAGTTTAGTGAATAAATCTACTAAGATGAGGAAAAAAGAGAAAGGCATCTGTACCTCTTACAATACATGCTAAGCCTTACCTAAATACACAAGCTCATAGTAACTTACTTCCTCAGGAAAATAATCAGAAAGACTCTCATATGTGGCCTTTTAGGGGGAAGATGGAGTCTTCATTGAAAATGTAGTGAATACTGAACATTTCAGTATTTAACTTCTAATTAGAAGAACATACTTTGCTTATCCATATGAATCAGAAAATCCAGTGCAAATTGTGCTTTACTGTATTAGATGTCTTTTTTTATGTCTGAAAATGTAGTAAATGACCTTTGTAATCAGACCTCAAACACCAGAACTAAACAAAAAAAAAAAAGAAGTGTGCATTTTAGATTTTTGCTGAACGTTTTGCATTAGCCTGGGCAAGAGAGAAAAGAGCTCTTGATCAATTTAACGTTTGTGATGATCTGTTTGCTCAACCTCAAGGATTTTTCTTTGTTATTCAGCTCATGTTTATTCTGTAAATGCAACTATTTCCTTCCATCATCCTGCTTTTCTTGTGTATTCCTGTTTCTATCTATGCAATCAACATTTTCCTTTCATAAACTTGGATTTTTCAAAACATTTGCTGTAAAACTTGCTTGAGAGAGGGTCTGGAAGAGGCACTCAAAACACAGTAGGGAGCTCCTAAGAGCTTCCTTACCCTACTCTTGTTAAGTGACTGGGCTTTGTTAACAATATATTTGATACGTAAGTTATTAATATAGCTGCAAGGAAGTAACTCATTTAGGAGATGATGATACTAACTGTTTTCATGCTGCATTAATTACCTGAAGTTACTCAGCAATTCTCACACAGTCAAGAGGCTTTATAGTGCTACAGAGCAAACCCCGATTGTATAAGCTGACTTCTGTATCACCCTATTGTCAGTCCTGCATTCATTTTTCTTGTAAGCCAACATGGCCCAATTTTTCATCTGTTCGCAGCAGTCAGTCTATCACAGAGACTTTCAGCTGGTCCATTTTTCTTCTTAAGATACCAAATTATTTTTCCAATATTAGACAAACTTCCACAGTCCAGCATGGGATTTTGCCTTAATGTTTTCTTTAAACAGTTCTATAAATATTAGCAGCTGAGTTATATATCACACTACCTCTACAGTTTTCAGTCCTCAGTTTCACTGAACAGAAGAAATGCAATTGGATGAATGTACATAAATAACATAAAGGTAGAGAAAACTACATTTTTACTAAAGGAACAATTGAGAGTTCCAGAAAACTTATAGTAAGTGATAGGGTAAAAAGATACTTTGAGGACAATATAAATTCATAAATTTTGGCACTCTTCCATTTGTTAGTTTGGGAGACAAATACTATCCAAGATCCTTTAAAATGTTTCTAAAAGGGAAAGATGCTGTTAGAAATCTGATCTCCCACGCTGAATTATTTTGATAGTTATTCTATAATCCATAGGTACAGTAATTACCAAAATCCCACAACAATAATACAAAAAACAGTGGTGTGTGGAAACTTGAGGGGGGAGGGAAAGACAAAAACCTCTGAGTCTGGGGTGGGGCTGCTGCTGGCTTTAAATTAGTTTTCCCGTATCAAGAGAATTGCGTTACACAGCAAGAATGAACATGTATGTGGATAAACTTTTAACTGGCAGAGCTCAACTCAGAAGAGTATTTTTCCTCTCAGCCTATAGTACCTCTCCGAGAACATTCTCTGCATTTAAAACAGCTGTCTTTAAAGCAGATGCAAAACCTCTGCAAGGAGATACTAACACTCTCTTGAGACTTCCACAGGAAAAAAACCCCAACCTTACAAAATTTATACTCATAATAGCAAGGACTGGTATTTGCCTAGACTGTTGACTTTGTTTAGTAGCCAAAAGTATAAATATATATACATCCCCTATAAAAAAACCCCACATTTATTTGCACAATTTGCTTTACCGTAGAGAAACATATACCAGTCTCAATAAATCTGTCAGCAAATCCAGAGCAATAACAGCTCAGTCACTACCATCCCTAATGTTTCTGCCACAAAACACAGTATCATCTTACATAGCTCCTTATATGCCAGAAGCACAAGCTGCTTAAAGAACATGTATTCTCTTTCTTACTTTGCAGCAATGTGAGAAGATCTGACATATGTATTCTTGTGTATATCGAGACCTACTGAGCAGCGCCATGAGGTGGGAGATAACTGTGTCATCCTGGAAAGAAGTGAGAAAAGAAAAAAAAAAATTAGCACTGTATTTCAGCATAGTTTCTTCCCAGTTTGTTATTCAAAAGAGTATTCCTGACTCTGTGTTCAGTGTTCTCCCTTCCACTGAAACCTGTATGGACACAGGACAAGACCATAGAAGAGGAGAGACATGAAGGCACAAGTGCCAGTTCTGAGTCAAATCCTCACGGAAAAAATGAATGGTTAGGTATAAGGTTAGGCAAGTTAGGTATAAAACTTCTGGAATTTGTCTTCAGAATCTTCACCATGGTCACTGAAAGCAAGTACTCCAGGAGTTGTCTTAGTAAATCAAAATTGTAGTAGAGAAAATACTTACCTCTTTATTTTAGCTCTGAACAGAAAATAGCAGAGAGGGGAGCAAGGTGTCTGACTGAACAATCTACAGTTCACCGTGAATCCTGCGGCACTCACTTTCTAACTAAGGTGGAGTAATAACTTCCTTTGCCTTTAAGTCAAACACACACTACAGACACTATTAGTATGTGTGACACTAATGACAGAGTTCCAAAAAACCAGCAACAGCAAATTGTTATACTGAAGATCCCTTCTGAAAAAAAAGTTGTTATTTAAGCTCTGTGCTAAGTTAAGAAAATTACAACATTTTAAAGCTTTCAGTTATTTTTACCAGTACATTTTAGTGGCAGCAGCTGCAATGATAATAAAAGAAACACTGGTCATTTTAATTTGGAAAGACAGTAAACTAAATTACTTTCATGAGATAAAGGGTACTGAACAGAGGAGATAAAAGACTGAATGAGTCTTCCTTTCCAAAGAACTTATGCTACATTGATCTTACACAATTAAGTCAGACACCTTGTTTTACCTGCAGGAGAATGATGAATTGCAACCCTCTGACTAGGCAGAGATGAATTAAAAGTAGAGCAAAATATTTATGTTCCTCCGCTACTTTTACAGCACAGCACTAGCCTGATTGTCTTAATGACTATAGCTTTAGAAATAAAAAGCTGTTTACGGAAAGTTTTATTTCCCAATCACTTGGGGAACTTCCAAATACTATTTTTTATATTACTCTCTCCTATTTGTACACATAAATGAGATTACGCAAAGTCTCACAATATTATTTTTTTATTTATATATGTATACACAAATATTTAGACTTATTTTAGAAAACTTTGATGCTAATAATCCAGCCTTCTTATTCTCTGTAGAGAAAAACCAGGACAACAGAGCCAAGAAACACTGAGAATAAAACCAACATGTTTCTACTGTTTGTTTCCCAGTAACTGGAAAGGATCAATGTGCAACAGCCTTGTTTGCCACTTGAGCATCCGACAGAAAGGAAGTTACTTACTAGGAACTGGAGCTCTTCCAGGTACAGCAGCCACATATCCGTGCTCACTGCACACTCACGTGCACAGGAAAAGCATGGGACAAAGTGTTCTAAGCAGCAGCATTCTCAGGCTCTGGTCAATGGCAGCTCCATACAATCTTCTGCCTTTACACACAGCATGTACACAGACACATCTCTTGGTTCACAGTTTCAAAACCCAAAGGAGCTGGTTTCGTTGCTGGTCAATAGTGGACATTAAACCCACAATTACGTTGTAATAGCACTGATGGTCATAACCACAACGAAGTGTCTCTTGACTGTCCCTGACAGAGGTAAGCTTGCAGGGCTGTGTAAACTAGGTGGGTATTGGCTTTGGGGCATGTGCCAAGCAGAGCAGCAAACTTCCATGAGAAACCAAACAGAAGCAGCTAACAGGCCAATCTTCTTCTCAAGGAACACATATTACAATCTTACAAAGTCATAGCAGGTCCCCAAAGTGTCTCCTTCTTTCACATAAAGCTAACCAAACTGACAATATAACCAGCATTCCTCTGTGGTTTAACACATCTGACCCATTAAAACAGATTCTTGTCATTTTCTGTAAATACAGCTGAAGGTACCAAGGCACAATACACACAAAAACATGCTAAGAGGCTTATCAAGCGATACAGTGCAGCTTAGACAAAACAATTGAGAATTCAGGGGGGTAGGGGGAAGAGAGAAGAGACACCTCAGGATTCAGAGGAAGTAAAGCTTAACAAAAGGAGCTTCAAAATGTAAGATACGAGACCTCAAATCTGCAGGGAATCTGTTTGTTTTTTTAAAAACTGCAAGTAGAAGGATGTAAATGCTGTCCTGAAAGTTAAAGTCTTATAAACTGGACAGAGATATTGCTCTTGCCACAGAATAGTACAAGAACTCACAACTACAGAAATCCATACACAATAAGCTGAATGAAAAAAATCTGCACCGGTTCAGTAATGCTTACCCAGAAGAGATTCCCATGAGCTAAAAACAATTTAAATGGCCACTATTAAAGATGCACAGACACAGTGTTTCCTAAAGTTGGTAACATGTTTTTCAATCTATACCATCTAGAAAACCATAGAACACTGCAACCTTCAGGAACATAAGCAAGGAGAAAATCTAGACTGGATGGGGGAGGGGGAATAAAACATGTTTGTCTTGTTGTGGTCCCTTCCCCCAAATTGGCGGGGGAATTTTTAAGCACCCACTATTATATATTGCTTTGTAACTAGGCTTTGTCCTTACCTTAAATTTGAGTTTCCCTCAGCTAACTAGGAAATTCTAGATAAGAATTTATAGATGTTAGCATTCATTCAGGTTCAGAAGGCAAAAAAGAAAGCTAAGAGTAGCAACTAATTTATTTATTAAACCATAGGTGACTGGCTTGCAAACAGATTTGATCCTCACATCCATCGGGTAATTCTCATGGGCTGCTCTGCGCAGCTGTCTTGTAGATCCGCACCTACCAATGTCTCCCTGTAGGCGTTTCTGACAGAAAATGAATATAATTCACTCATGTGATCTATCACCTTTACCACATGACCCGTTCACATTTGGATACTGAATAATGCTGCCAACCCTGAAGCGACCCTAGAAAAAGCTGTAGGATTTTCCCTCCTTCCCTCAAGTTGGTAGAACAGTTTCGCATCTTGTTTTATTTCTAAACTTGAATGGTGTAATTGCTTATGAAAAGCAGATTTCAGTGAAAACACACAAGAATAACATTTAGATTATTCTTCATTAACTAAGAAAGCACTTGAAATCTACAAACAGTGCAAGAAGGCAAGCTTTGTGTCAGGAGTCACGGGCAATCAATCTGAAGCTAGAGAAGCAAAGATTTCTGATGCTATCTTTCACACATTTTACAAGAACATATCTTTCCATATCCTTGTTTTTATGTCCTAAACTATGAATAAAAATATATTGCTTTTGTCTTTGAATAAAATAATTATTGAGTTGAACTCTTCTTCAACACAGATGAACATGAAACATCTCTCTACCTGTATCTAACACCAGAAAAGGAACAAAAAAAACTTACTTCACATCCTAGACAGTGTCATCACCATGCAATGTTTCACCCAGAACTTCAATAGTGTTGCTCACATAAGTATTTTTGGCTGCAGTCTGATAGATTGGAGAGTTTTGGTTAAGATATACATTTGGTTTATACATTTCAGTGACCAGCACAGCCTGATAGCGCAAAGGTAAATTCCTGGAAAGGAAGGTGTTCATAATGGATGACGAAAAGCATTTTAATCTAGCATTTATGAAACTAGGACGTTCTGACACCAAGTATTCTGACTGGGCACTTCTGGTGTCACTGTGACCCCAGGGATGATGTTGTATATAGGACATAAGGGTTAATGAATCCTTGCAATCAAGCGAGCGAGGGTTCCCTAAAATTCTACAAATACATAAAACTGATATTCTGGACTATAAAAGGAAACCTTTGAGAAGTGATTCTTTGGAGATCATTTTTATACACCTCCTCATTTTGTTCCATCAAATCAGGAATGTTGTGGGTATGAAAAGTTTAAAACCTCTTGGAAGGTTGCAACAGTGCTTCTCTAATGCTTGCGAGAAAATTATCTTAATTTTGCTCCGTGATTCTGCTAAAATATATCCAAGATCTTTAATAATTTTGGTATGTTTAACAGAAAGGAATCTAGAAAGAGTAAAAAGATGTATGGACATTACTGACCTCCAGATAAATGCAAACAGTGATTATGTGTCAATATGAGGCTACGCTTTTAACAGTGCTGTCAATGAATCCATTCTTTTTGTTTTAAATAGATTAGCAAGAGCTGAAGCAAACAATAGGCTGTCAGTCAAACCAGATTTAACTTAGCACTTGAATCTATTCATTAAGCCAAAACACAACTAGCTGCATGGAGCTGACTAGTTCAGATGTAGCGAACACCTCCAAATACAATCTTAGAATTAAAAAAAAATTTTTAAAAAAATCGCAACATACATGCGCATCTCGACAGACTTCTCACCCATGCCATCCCTTGTTTCCATTTGCAGGACGATGACTGAATCAATCTCAACACCAAAGCCTGCATCCTTCCAGTGAAGGAAGTCTCCGCAAGATGTGTAAACCCGGCACAGCAGCTCTGGGTACAGCTCACTGCCCTGCAGCACACTTGCTCCAAGACCTCAGCATCAGACACTGAAAGCCCGGCCTCTTTGAGAGCTCAGCGTTCACTCAGTCCAACACACAGATGGACGTGCCTTCACATTCTCTCAGTATGGGTCCTGAGCTCCAAAGGAAATAGCCCAAACTATCTCCGAAGAACTATTTTGTCTTTGGAACTGAATATAATTGCTCAGAGCTGACAGTAGCTTATCCTTCAAGCTCCTGTCTTTAAGGAAAGGTTTAAGAGGAAAGGTGTAGTTTCTGACCCCTGGCATTTCCCTCAGCAGAAATATTCAGGTTACTGTGGACAACATGGAGGAGGGCAGATTGTTTTGTTTTTAAATGAAACTAACTTTTTTTCTCTCCCAAAGCTACTACAAACAAAAAAATATTTTCAAAGCCCTTTAAACAACTCTATTTAAAAGCACTTGTGTATCCTGGATCTTAAGTGAAAAGTCCTCTGAAACCTCTGGAGTGACTGTAACATCCTTGGAGACATCAAGCTAAGTCATATCATCTTGTCTTGGAAATAGTCCTGGCCAAGGTTTGAGAGACAGCAGTCAAACCACAAAGAAATTTTGGGAAAAGTTGTCATCTTAGATACAACTCAGGAACCAACTTTTGAGAAGCCTTTTCCAGAAGTGCTGGACAAGAAAGAAAAGCCATTGGCAAACTTAGTCTCCTAGCTTTCAAAACAGGATCTGATAAAGGCAGAACTAAAGAGGCTGCTGAATAAGCTCTTTTATTCATTCAAGATTTGAAGCTACCTGGAAATGGTCACAGTCTCCCTGGAGCTGTTGTGATTAGAAACAAAGAGGGAGGAGGGTGGCTAAACAAGAACTTTATGTTCTTCCTGTTATTCTCCACGTTGGAAACATGGAGCATCTACCTATAATTAGGTCTTTAATTGCAAAGACAACTTCTCAACTGCTGCCTTGTGACACACAGCTTGCAGCAGTGGGTGTTGTGACTATACCTTCCAAGAGAGCAAACCCATCTCTTCTTTTCAAAGGATCTGCATTCATTACTTTTCAAAGCATGTGTTTGGCTATTCCCATTAAAGAAGTAAAAAAGAAGCTGATTTGCAGAAATAGGACCTTGAGCACAGTCAGAAAATACTTAACTTTCAGGTGTCCAACCGGAATGGGAGATTGGAAAATGGGTATTACGGTTGAAACTAAAGAACAAGGGCAGCCTCACCAGATGATCATTTCCTGTAGCAATAGCTGATTAGGGGACACCACATTCGCCAGAATAACAAACAAGGTGGCAGAGTTCTGATGTCACTGTTGCGACTGTATGTTGAACACACAGAAGTTGTCTCTAGTTATGACAGACATCTGAACTGTAGATAAAGTACGGAATCAGAGGTCAGTTGAGCCCTTCTCTATAAGCACCAAGTCTTCCTCAGCAAGTGACAGTCATCCCTTTCAGTGGTGGGACCAGAGTGGTCAGCACTGCAGGCTCCCAACTACGCTCAGAAGTTGGACCTGCTGGGTGCCTGCCAGGCAGCAGACTGGTGCAATGCTACCCTTTTCCCAGCAGGAAGAGGTTGCTGGTACAGTACAGCTTTCATGTCACAGCTTGCCTCATCCCTTACACCAGTTCAAAGGAGGAGGGAAGAGTGCAAACTCTTCTTTCCATTCCTCCCAAGCAAGAGACAGTGACCGAGTTTGGGAAAGCCCTTTTGTGTCTAAGCTGCCACAGAGCATTGCCTTCACTCAGGACTCCACATCAGTGGCTTTGCCCACTCACCCTAAGAAGGGCAGCACCAACAGCCTTACTGGTCCCATGTTTCAAGCTGAGGTCAAGACTATAGCAAAAGGGAAGGATATTTTCTATCCTCCTGTGAGTTAAATGTAAATCACACATTTAGTATATTTACTAAAAGCAGAAAAAAATTAGAGGTGAATCTCTTTCACAAGAAGTGCAAAAAACCTAGAAAGTATCCTCACATCTGGAGTGAAATGACAGCATCAGATAAAATTCTAAGCTTCAGAAATTAACTTTTTGACAATATCATTATGATAATCACATCTGTAAATATCATTTAGAGACAGTTTTTACTTCTTAAGATTGCACACAAGCCTGAAAATTTTAGGGTTTTTTATCAGTGTGCTACCTGGCTGACCATCTCATATCAAGTATTGCTATACATGTTAGGTGACCCAGATGTCTGAAATGTAGGTAGGAAATGCTAATATTGTTGGTCAAACAAGCCCTCTTGACTACTGCAGGCGACAAGACCTTTCACTCCCACCAACTCTACAGGTTTTAAAATGACATAATAATCTGCTTACAACTTACTGTGTATAGCAGATCCTCTGGAGTTACAGGACTGATGAAAATGGTACGGAGACATCTCAGGCAAGCTTCAATAAACTTCAAATCTGGAGACAGTAATCCTGTCAGTAGAGACAAAAACCTACTATTCAGTTTCATTATCTTTGCTTATTTGAGTATTTTAGGAACATTTACTAAAATAGACCCACTAAGTTACAAATACCTTGCAATAAGGCTGGGATAATGTGGCAGTCTAGCAGAGATTTGACATTGTTCTCTGTACCCATTGCAAGGCTTCCGAGGACCACTGCGCATTCTGTTCTGAGTTCTGTGCTGGAGGTTTCTTGCTGAAGTAAATACAGTAACCTGGAAATAAAGTTATTTTTAGAGGAAAATTCACAGAAAAAAACTTTTAAGTCTAGTGAAAAAGATACAAAATCTGAATCCTCCTACGTAAAGAAGATGAAGTCCTTAACAGAAAGATGAAGACTGAACAAAAGAGTAAGATGAAAACTTTATTCGTAAGAATCTTTTTTACACTGTGTTCCTATGCAGGTTTTACTTGCTCTTATGGTACAAAGATATCTCACTTTTTTTCTAAAAATCACAGTACTGATAGCCAGGATGATGTCTTTCAGGATACCAGGAAGATCCCAAATTTCAATTAAAGGAAACGAGTCTGCAGTTTGACATCAATGGGAAAGGGAACCTCATGCATCTCCCCTAACACCTAGTGACACAAGTACTGCTGTCATGATGGTTATCTTCGGCAGTGAGTTCTTCTGAGTCACAACTGCAAAGTAATTCCATCATCAAGCACACGTATGGGGGCAAAGAGTTTTGACCCTTGAGAAACGATCACATAGGAACATAAAGAAAGCCCAGAGAAGTTATACGTGCAGGAAGGCAGCTGAATTGCAGCTAAACAGAATCACTTCAAGCCTAAAACGCATCTTTGCCAAACGCATACCTCGGATTTCATTCAATATAGATTCTTCATACAGTACCAAGATACCTAGGAACCCCTTTGAATATATTTTAGATTACATCAGCAGTGTCTGAATCACAGGAGAGGTCACGGAACACTTCCAGTGTGAATTTGAGTCATACAAAGAGCCCAGATAGCTACCAGACTCCTACCTCGCATCAGCACAGAAGATAATCACTTTAAGATTTATATGGTTTACAAGCTTAAGATGAAAATGGTTTAACTAAGGGCTTCCACAATACATACAAGTCTGAGCAAAACAATTAACAGGAAGATGACTTGGACACTAAGATACACTTCCTTCTGTACAGGCAACATACACAATCCCTTTTCTAGATTCACTGAGGTAAGATGGAAACATTCTCAATTTAGTCACACACTGAAAAAGTCTTTCCTAAAGCCAGGCAATATACTGAAGCCTTCTCTAGCAGATAAAAAGAAGCCAAAAGCCAGCATCTACCCCAGTGGTGAAGGGGATAGAAGTAGTTACTGGGGTAGATCCCTGAACAAAATGCCCAAAAAGCTGACTTCCCAAATCAAAGGCTAGGGTAAAAAATAACCACAAATACAGTAACTAAATGCAATTTAGGTACATGGGACTGGAAAAGGCCACCAGGGATGTGCAAGTAGCACCATAATACACAGTAACAGAAGAGCATCTTTAATACACACTCCAAATGTTTCCCACTTAAATAAGGCAGAAATTGCTTCTTAGCAATCCCCTACATTTGAAATCTAGAATAAAAGCCCAACAAACGTATCACTACGGCACATCACTGGAAGAAAGTTGAGAGACCATACGTCTCTTTGGTGCCTACAAGCAGCACTTTCATTACATAAAATCCAGACTTTTCAGAGAGCAGATAATTTACCAAGTTCTTGGAAGAGAAGAACAGCAAAATAATCCCACAGTACTCCCTAACAATTTATTTGGATGAAAAGTTTTCTGACTGCGAATCTGCCAGGAATCTGCTTTGTTCTGAATGCAGGTTTGACAGCAACCAGAAAGCAGAGGTACAGGACTATCACTCGAAGCACATGTGTACCCTTTTTGACACGTAGCTAATCTCTTGGTGGAAAAAACCTCCAAAACATGAACACATACTAAGGAGATGAAATATAATTTCTTCCTGAACACAAGCAAAACAGTTGAAACTTGGGACATAATTAACATGTGAGATGCAAGCAATCCCCAAACCAAAGTATATTTTCTCCTTTCAACTTCCTTTGCATTCAAAGGATCAGAGTGGCATAAATTCAGAATGGCACAGATTTCCAGTCATTGCTGTCTTCTTTAATCCCCTCCTTCCACAAACTTATTCAGTCAATGGCATCCAGGTTCTTTGTTCCTGCTTATCTGTTTTATATGAAAGGCCACTTACTTCTGATATTTAGAAACATCTTCTAATTTCTTGTATAAATCTATTCCTGACTAGTTTACGTTGATTTGTTAGCGTACATGTTATCCTTTAATTGGTACAATTCTTCTCATTTCTTACAGCAACCCGCTAACAGTGCTGAGGCACTCTGGCCCAGGCTGCCCACGTGGCTCAGTGGAGTTGATCTGCTGTTTGTTCTGCATTTCACCCTAGGCCCCTGTAATATTGACACAGCAAGGTATGTAAAAAACGGCTCAGATTCATCAGTTGTTCCACAAAGGCATCTCACACACATCATTTGTGCAAACTCAAAATTAACCGTACCTATAT